GGGGCCCCGCGGAGGGGTTTGCGCGCCGAGGTCCGCGTGCGCGCGGGAGGGGGGGGGACCTCGCCTCCAGGGCCGCGGGCCGCCTTTCGCTCCCCTGCTCCGTAGAGTAGGTGCCGGGTGGCCCTCTATCCTTGTGAGCCGCAGACCGAGGGGTGTGCAGTGCGTGTGCGCGCTAAATTGGGGACCCCCCGGACCAACCAGGACGAGTTCCCCCTCTGTTGGACTGTCACCCACAAATCCTCCCTGAGCACCCCGGCGAGGCTCAGGCCGCGGCCCTTCCGGCGAGCGGGACGCTGCGGTTCACTTTACCTCCGTGTTGGGTTTACCTGGGGTCCTCTTGTTAGGGGCCCCCCAGCTCCATGGAAGGCGCTGGTTGTGGCTCAGCCCCGTTGGACGGGTGTGGAGGCCGAAGTGAGGAGGGGAAGCAGTGAAGCAACATTGCGGAGGCGGGAGGAGAGCGATTCGAACCCCGGGCTCTGCCAGATTTGTGACCACCAGTGATTTTTCCTTTCATTCATTCAGCAAGCTGTCATTCATTCATTGAGCATGTGGCGTGGCACAGTCGCAGCTTTATGGGCGGAGGTGGCACTAGGCTCAGGGAGAGACAGGCCTTAACCGACTGGGCGCACAGAGAACTACAGTTCCCAGCTCCTGTAGGACATGAGAACTGTGGGAGAAAGGTGCCCGTGAAGCGAAGGCTGCTTTGTGATCAGAGAAGGTGTGACCCGTTAGATTAGGAAGGAGGGAGGGAAGCTGGAGGGGAGCCAGGCGTCCTGCAGAGGGAGCTTCTCCTGCACAGACCCCAGCGCCTTGGACAGAGGGAAGTCAGGATGGCAGAGTCCGCGGAGCAGGGCTTGAGCTGTGATGGCAGGAAAACAGAGGGGTTTCTTTTTATTTTAATAAGACCAGCGTGATGGATGTGACAGGCTCTCCTAGATGTTTCCGTGGCTGTGAACAGTTTTAAATATATATATATATCTTTATAGGTTTCAGAGAGAGGAAGGGAGAGGGAAAGAGAGAAACATCAATGATGAGAGAGTCATTGATCAGCTGCCTCCTGCACGCCCCCGACTGGGGATGGAGCCTGAAACCCGGGAATGTGCCCTGACAGGGAATCGAACCCTGATCTCCTGGGTCCATGCTCTCAACTGCTGAGCCACGCAGGCCAGGTGCTGTGAACAATTTCTGATAGATTAGCTGCATGTACACTTTCCCTCTGCCCCTCTAGGAGAAACATCTGGGTGTGCTGGTCACTGAGAGTGGAGTATGGCTGGGACAGCCCTTTGATTTTCACAAAGATTGTTTCAATCTGTAGTACTTCATGGTTGTAGCACATTACCTCCCAATGCGTCCTGACTCTTCGGATGGGTTGACTCAGTGTCACGCCCCAGCCCCCCTCCCCCACCCCAAAACTTTGCTTTCTAAGACCTGGTTCGGGGCCATGTGGGAGACTGCAGTCTGAAACTGTTCATGTTCCCTCAAAGAAGCCATCTTTGACCTTCCTGTTTAAAGAAACCCCGGGTCACTCCCCAGCCCCGCCAACACTTTCAACCCCTTTCACCCCCACATATATCACCACCTAGCAGGAAGCCTTGTTTCTTGCCCATCTCCACGGGAACGGAAGCCTGCCAGTATTCATGAGGGTAGGATTGCCACCCGCCTTTCACTGTGCTTGGCACAAAGGAGACACTTACTAAATAGTTATTAAATGAATGTATGCATGAAAGGTGATTAAAAATACAAAGCATAATTTTACATCATAGACTTGGTAGATACCTTTAAACAACAAAAATAGACTGAAATTGGCCACAATTTCCTTCTCCCAGTTTTTCAGGACAATCAGACCCAGTTGTCAGTTGAGGTTCTACTGGTAATGCCCAAACTCCACGTGGGGCGTGACTGACTGTGGTTCAGTTTTCTCCCATAATCCCATATGATACTGATTCTTAAGAAAAGGGCACGTTTGGGGTCCAGGGAGTTTTAATTTTCACCTTGAATTTTTAGCAGTTCTGCTTTTCTGAAGCCAAGTAGAATTTTCTTGTAGATCTGGGTCTGTTATTCCTTTGTAATGATTTTTGGTAAACATTACTCAGGAAATAAACCACTGAGCTGTCACTTAATGAAAGGTGTCTCCATTCCCAGGTCTTCTGCTAAGTGCTCACCTTATCACCCCTCTGATGTAGGAATAGCTTCCGCATTTTACGGATGACAAACCTAAGCTGGCTCCAAAGAATTGGATGATTTGCCATGGTTCCTGCTCACTTGGGTTTGAACCCATTCTTATTTCTACCACTCCGCTGCCTCACTACACAATAACTCCTTCTTCCTTGAATTCTTGTAGCTTCGTGAGTGGTAGTAACTACATCTGGCTTTTCTTAAAGCAGGAGTTCCTGACTTTGGGGGCATGGATCCCTTTAAGAATCTTGATGAAGTCTATGAAGACCCTTCCAGACGCATGCACATCCATACGTGCCATTCTGCATACAGTTTTAGGGGGTGGTGGACCTCTCAATGTCCACGGGCCCCCTCCCTGCCAGAATGAAGCTTTAAGCAATGTAGGAATGTTCTAGATCAGTGAGATGCAAACAGACGCCACTGCTGTTAGAGAAGGGACAGACTCCTCCCTTCCTGCTGCAAACAGAAAGGGTGGCATGCAGTTCACCCAGTGCCGATTTGCCTCCCACACCAACTTTAGCCCCTGACCCCAATGAGAAAACCACCGTTAAGGAAATGAACTCCAGGGCCCAACTGTGTGCAGGAGGCTGTTGGGTGGGGCTACAACAGGAAACGCCTGCTGTGGAAGGATGAAAACCAGGGTCCAGTTCTCTACAATTTTTCAGAAACCTGTGCATGTGAGTGTGGTCTAGGGTGACTCGGGTTCAAAATCAGAAGCCCTGCATTGAGCCCCAGTTGAATATATGGGAAGCCCTGTCCTAGGTGCTCATGTGGTTGCCCTGTGTGCGCCTCATGATGACAAATGCATCGGTATTTGACTGCAGCAAGCAGGACTCTAGAATTCTCTGTGCCCTGTTTGCTTAGGGAATTGGAGTTCTCGTGAAGCAAAGTGACTTGACCGCCAGGTATCTGTGTAAGGACTTGCTTTTGGTTTCTGTGTTGCAGGCCAGTGTGGACCTTTACCAAGGTCCATGTTCATAAGAATTATGTGCAAGGTTGAATATTCAAAGCTATATATATTGTGATGTAAAGGATTTTTTTTTTCAAGATGTCATCTGGGTCTTTGATGATGGGTCTGATGCCTGTGGAACTGTTTATGGGCTGATGAGAGCCTGAGACGGGAGGCTAAGTTCTAGGTGTCTGCCTTCATGTTCTGACCACTGAGCTCCATATTGCTGGATACGACTGGGTACTTTTCACCCTCTGGAGAAATCAGAGTGTACCTACCTTATGTTATTGGCTGTGAGAGTCCTGGTGGAGGGGAGAGTGTGGTCATTGTGAACCATCAGTTATTGGCGGTCTTTGTTAAAACTAGTATGGCTTTCCTCTAAATATAATCAAGTGAGGGAGAATTAAGGAGAGTCTGGTATTCAATTTTTTTCAGGCTGCAGAAGATGTCAATGTTACTTTTGAAGACCAACAAAAGATTAACAAATTTGCACGGAATACGAGTAGGATCACAGAGCTGAAGGAAGAAATAGATGTAAAAAAGGTATTGAAGATATGTATCTTATTGAAGGAAAGTAAATGTTCTTCATGCTGTAGCTCTTAAACACTGAATTCAGCAACTTGTGCTTCTCTCTTTCCAGACTCTTGCAGATGACAGAACCCTCTCGTTTAAAAAGAAAGACCTTGTTTAAGGGATGCAAGATAACTTAGAGATTGTTGAGGGGTAGGACTCTAGGCTGAGGTTCCAGGAGCAGGTCCCAGAGAACGTGGCGGGGGACAGAACTGTTGTCTCCGTGGCCAGCTGTTTCCTCCACGACGAGGAAGCTGCCCCTCAGACCTAGGACACTGGGTTGATACTGCGGCTGCCCCTATAAACTGGAGGCCTTCTGCCCAGCCTCTGTTCATTCAGCTCTCCTGTTCAGGTGCATTGATTGATGGGATTTAAGTTTTTATTTGCTTTCATCCTGTCATCAAGCATGGCTGAGAAGTGGAGATTTCGTTTTTGCTTTTGGTTAATTCTCCCACCAGAAGGCAGAACTCACAAAGTGAGAAACTTAAAGCAGAAGACATGTTGAGTGGCCACGGATCCCCGCTGTCCACCACAGCATGCTTGGAGCAATCTGGAAATATCTAGAGATCAGTGTGGTAGTTACCTTGTAAGCGCTTCCTTGTGAAGTCAACTAAAAATGTAAGAAAGTTTCATTTTAGTGTGGTAATACCTTTGTGAAAGGGTCCCTCCAAGAGTCGGTGTCCCCAAATTAAGATGGTCTTTTGGCCTCTATCAGGGAATTTTGAATACATCTTTCATTGCTGTTCCCTTTTGCATTTGCAGAAACAACTCCAAAACTTAGAAGATGCTTGCGAGGACATCATGCTTGCAGATGAAGACTGCTTAATGATACCTTATCAAATCGGTGATGTTTTCATTAGTCATTCTCAAGAAGAAACACAAGAAATGTTAGAAGAAGCAAAGGTATAATGAAGTCTTTCCCTGGGGATGAAGCCTAACTCTTAAATTGGCATTGGTATCATTATAAAGAACATTTAGGAGTAGGGGAAGTAATGGGTGCTGCCTAATATTTCATGGATCTCACAGTGCCCCACATATGCCCTGAATGTTTTGCAAGTGTGATTTTATTTAATCCTAACAACTCTATGAGACAGGTACTGTTAGTCCCAGTGAGAGTTGAAGAATCGAGGATATAGAGGTTATGGGGCCTATTCAGTGACAGAGGGAATGATCCTGTGACTCCAGAGCCTGTGCTCTAAACTAGAAGTATTTAGGAAGTACAGAGTATAATAAAGCAGAAAAGAAAAACCACCCGTAATCCCACAACCCAGAGACCGTCATCCATGATGAACATTCCCACGTCTGTCTTTTATGCTCTCCTCTTTCTCTGTACTTTTGCTTCACATTTTGGTCAGTTAACTCCCTAGTAGTATTTTCTTCTTCTATTTAATGTTTATACAGCAGCTACTCCCTGGGAGCCTTCTCTGGGTCAGGCACACATGTTAAGAACATAATTTTTGATGACTTTAATATCGTGGGTGGGCATTGATTCAGCGCACCGTCCTCCTAATGTCACACTTGCTTTCAGTATTTTCCTGAAGTGATTCTCTAGTGAGCATTTTTATACTTTAATCTTTGCTCACATTTAGGAAAATTCTCTCTCTCTCTTTCTCTCTCTCTCTCCTTTCACTTAACCCTCACCTGAGGATATTTTTTTCATTGATTTTTAGAGAGTGGGAGGGAGGGAGGGAAGAGGGGAGAGAGAAACATCAATTGGTTGCTTCCTGAACATCTCCCAACTGGGGCTGGGGATTGAACCTGAAACCCAGGTATGTGCCTTTGACTGGGAATCGAACCCAAGACCCTTTGAACCCGCAACCCTTTGGTGCACAGGGTGACACTCTAACCATTGAGCAACAAGGGCCAGGGCTAGGAAATTCTTTAAAGGAAATAATCGGTGAAGTATAATTACAGGATCAGAGTGCAGATTCACTGATGCATTTGAAACATTGTGTGAAATAAGTTTCCAATTCATGGGTCCTCCAACCATGTGTGAGAGGGGCAGTCACACTATGAGAAGCTGATGGCAATTAACTATTTTATGATTCTTTTGGAAGTTGCTTAATTAGCTTGAATATTACTTAAAATGTTTGTCTCTCTTCTTTAAATGTCATGAAAGATCCTTGGCTGGTGTGGTTCAGTTGGTTGGAGCATCATCCTGGACCAAAAGGTTGTGGGTTTGATTCCTGGTCAGAATCTGCACCCACCTTGCGGGGACCATTCCCGGTCAGGGTGCCTGCGAGAGGCAGCCAATTGATGTTTCTCTCTTTCTCTCTCTCTCTCTCCTTCTCTCCCTAAAATCAATTAAAAATAAATAAATGAATAAATAAGTGTCGTGATGGCAAAACTTTTCATGAATTAAACCCACATGTAATATACCTCCCAAAGAACTCTCTAGCTCTTTCCAGACAGAAACATTGTATGTCTCCTCTTATGCATAAACCTTTCTTTTGAAAGCAAAATTTTATAATTTTGGTTTTCTTTTTAATCATTCTAAAATACTCTTCTTGGAATTATTTCAAGATAAATGTTTGTCACTGTTGTGAACATCCCTTCCTCCCAACCCCACCCCCACCACACCCGTAGGTATTGAACCTTTATTTTACAATTCCTTCATTCCTTCATCCCAGAAGTATTGAGTGCACACTCTGTCGGGTTCTACCATGTACTGAGGGACATGCCTGGCCCCTGCCTGCACGGAGTACTTGGTCTCCATGGAAAGGCCTCGTAGTTAGTGAACATTTCTGCTAGATTTTGACTGAGTTGTTATTAGTTATTGGTGGCAGCAGGAATGCTTTTCCTTTCCTTTGGTTTCAGTTCCTTTCCTGGGCAGTTGGAAGAGGCTGTGGCAGAAGCCATGCCTGTGATACGCTGTTTCCCAGAAGTGACCATGTTTGGTTCTTCGTTTACTAGGATATGATAATTTAGAAATTAATTTTCTTGTCTCTATTATGTTTTTTAAATCCGCCCAAACTGAGAAAACAAGCTTGACTTATCTAGAAGCAAATGTAGGCTGTGAGTGCAAAGTGCCCGTACGGACTTTGGGTTGAGACCTGATTATCAGGACTGCAGCTTCCTGTCCCAGTCAGAAAGGTCTCGGCTGGACAGTCTTCCTGAGCAGTCTCTTAGCACAGGGCTCGGAAACCATCCAGGTGATAAATTAACTCAAACAATTTTTTTCCAGAAAAATTTGCAAGAAGAAATTGACACCTTAGAATCCAGAGTGGCATCCATTCAGCGGGTGTTAGCAGATTTGAAAGTTCAGCTATATGCAAAGTTTGGGAGCAACATAAACCTTGAAGCTGATGAAAGCTAAACATTTTATAATACTTTTAAAATTTGTTTAATAAACTTGAATATTGTTCAAATGATAATTTTTCTTTTTCAAATGATATGGAAAGCAAAACTTTCTTTTTTCAAAAATTTTTCATTTATTTAATGGAAACTTGCCTATTTTCACATGTCTTGCTTATTTATTTTATATTTTTAAAAGAAGACAGTATTCATCTATGTATTTTGCATAACAATTCTATCAAGTGTAGGGGTTTTATGTCATGTTATTAAAATCAGTTAAGCAATCTTTTTTGTTTCTAGATTATCATTTAGAATATCTGTTGCAATTTTTATCTGAAAATTTAACAGTCCTGTTATGTTGTTTATATGTATCTATTTCAGTTGCTTCTTAGAGATGGCGAAAGGACTCCAGAAAGATCTAATCTTACACCTGTCTACTCATTTCACACCTGAAACTTGTCATACGGAAAAATATGTATATATTTTATTTAAATACATGCAATATATATTATATCTAAACATATATTTCACTTATCTCTTACATATAAGTGTCATAGGTCTTTGGAAAAGAGCCAGCTAATGCTGAGACTTGTTGAGCTTCATACAAACAGAGCAGAACAACAGAAGAATATTCTAGAACCTGAGAGATGTATCAATAGGAATGTTTAGTGTGTTTTTAAAATTATGTTTCAGACTGTTTCGGTGCTTTGTAATTAATTGGGGTTTATATTGATAATGATGTAGAAGTTAAGCAGCTGTGTGTTTAAAAATAAGGCTTTTTTCTTAAATAAAGAGTACATTTATCCCCTACAGCCCCCAAAGGACATATATTTTGGGATTTGCAAGACCTAGTGGTATATTAACTTCCCAGCAGATGGCACTGATATGTCAAAATACCAATGGAAGGATCATAATACAAAAATGAGGATATTTCTAGGATTAAATATACATAATCTTAAGAGGAAATGTCATTTTTTAACCTTTAAGGCTAAGCATTGCATATTGTATTTTTTGATTAAATGTTTAGAAACAGTTCAGGCTTAAAGATAAAATTCTGAAATTCTTCATGACACACAGGCAACTTTTAAATTGCTGCAGAATGTTCACAAATAGTGATATTCAAATTCTAGAAAGTAACTCGTGAAAGGATATTTTTCTTGCATGCATTTGGTTAGTGTTCAGTTAGAGGAGTGAGACTGGGAAGATAGTCAGATTGTAGCAGGAAATAGATAACACACTTAAATTAGGATAATTTCAGAAACCTTTGGCCAAGATGACAGAAGTGGAGGTTTCTGTGCCCCCAGAGGCCCTGGAAGGGAGCACCACCCCCTTCACTCTGGAACCCAGGGAAGGGCTGCCTTCATTTGTGGAGGGACACAGCCAGCCAGCAGCATCCCTGCAATGATAGAGCTGGGAGACTGGACCCCTGACCCCTTCTCCAAAATCCAGCTGGTGTTCACCATGGACCGAATCCAGATGTAGTGGGGTTTTTTAGGGCCCCAGGTGGGTGGTGAATGGATGGATCTGGAGGGGCCAATGGGAGATGTAGCTGAACCCTTCAGAGATTTTAACAATGAAGGCACATCTGACTTGTCAGAAACTGAATCCCTTAAGGCTGGGACTTAAAATTGTATCCACATATTAGCAAGTAAGCCTAATACAAGAAGGCAAGGGTGGGGGCGATTATATGTTGTTGCTAACTTCAACCTTGTTTTTTGTAATTTACATGTGAAGTTCTAGGACATCAGGAATATTTTATTCCCATTTTACATTTCTTTCTAAAGTGCCCCTAAACCTTTATTTTTGTTAGTAGTAAGTTTATGGGGTAGCTGAAGACTGGTAAACAGTTTCTGAAGAGGTAACTAATAACTCCAGCTAGTAGTTGCCACAATTTTTTTTTACAGGAATCCTGATTTTTATGTACAATCACTATATTTAAAAGGTGCAGCTATGTTTTTTAAGCAATGCAACGTAAACAGAAGGTATTTATAGAACAGATTTGACCATGAGGCTGCTGGTTTGCAAACTCAGTTGCACAATTTGCTAATGTTATCCAGGCTTTTAGTAGGGAGTAGGTAGCAGACAATTTGCTCTGCACTTGGGGTCTGAGTGGTGCTGGGCTGCTCACTTCCCTTCCGTCTCCACAACCACCCCTGCCCTTGTCCAAGCCTCCAGAGCTCCAGCCAAAAGCAGGACTTAGGGGAGGAAATGCCATTTGGGATAGAGTTTTGACAGCTGGAGGCCAGGGGAGTCTATAGGGCTTTGAACAGAAAGGAGATACGCATGATAGGAGCAGTATTTTGAAATAATTTGGCAGTTGGTAGGTGGGTTTTACTACAAAGAGATACCAGATGTCTGTGTACTTTCCCTGGTGCATAGTCAGTTGGCAGAGGAACGAAGGAAAGAAGCTGGAACTTAGAAGGTGAAATGTGCGGGTCTCGACAGCAATGAGATGGTGAAGGGCAGAGGAGGAAGCCATGGATAAGTTGGTTTTGAACACAGGCCATGTGAAACCTTGCAAAGCACCTTTTCTTTGGCTCATTGTTTAAAATTTTCTTGCCACAATAAAATCAGGAGATTTCACATAAAATGTCACAGTTTGGCAGCAGTGGAGACCATATTTACAAATGATAACCTGGTGCTCACCCATTAGACAAAGCTCCCCCCCCCCATTTACATTACCTGCCTGGCACCTCCCTGGCCTTGACTCCCGGAGCCTGCTCCAGCTGAACACAGGCGGAAGGTCAGAAGGGCCTGGGAGGGAGCAGAGCATGAGTCTGGCTTTGGACACCTGCAGTCTCTAGGACGTCCACTATGTGGGGACGTGCCACTGGTCATTGGAAAGGTGGCTGAAACATTTTTTTTCCTGGACAAGAGGGGCTGGGAAACTGGCCCAGGAGAGCTGTCCCTTGGCTTCTTCAGCAAAACTCTAAGCCCCAGAAGAGGAAGGTAGCTGAGGTCAAGGCCAGGGGAGCCAGAGAGAGCTCAGCAACCTACCCGCAGTGAGGCCGTCCTGGGCTGTGGGGAAGGTGGCTGGCTGAAGCCGGGCCCCAGGAGCGCTGTGCCTACCCATGCCCCATGGGGGCTGAGAAGACATTGGAGTCCCCACCTCCCGGGTTCCATGTGAGCCTGGGGCGGGCTGTCCACTCCTTGCAGGGGTGGGGAGGTATATTTTAGGACCCTTTCATCCTAGAGACCGCCTTCTTCTATTTAAGCTATGTACATACCACTTGGGGTTTGTTAAAATGCCTGGCTGGTGTGGCTCAGCGGTTGAGCATTGACCTAGGATCCAGGAGATTGCAGTTTGATTCCCGGTCAGGGCACATACCCCAATTATGGGCTTGATCCCCAGAAGGGGGTGTGCAGGAGGCAGCCGATCAATGACTCTCTCATCATTGATGTTTCTATCTCTCTCCCTCTCTCTGAAATCAATAATAAACATTTAAAAATAAAACGCACGTCTGGCTCAGTGGTTTGGGGCCGGGGCCTGATTTCTGCATTTCTAACAAGCTTTCAGGTTATGGGGACATTGCTCATCCTTGGGCCGTGCATTGTACAGCTAAGGGAGCTTATGGAGGAGAAGATGTAGGAGAGCAGGTGGAGGAAGCAGCAGCAGAGGAGACGGACACCCATGGGGGCAGAAGCCTGGAGGTGCTAGAAATGTGCAGTTTTCACAGGACTAAACCCTGGAAAACGTTTCCCCAATTGGGCGTGATGCTGACGATGTAATGGCATTGCCTTCAACGGCTGTTTCATAGAAACTGGTGGGGGTTTTGTTGTTGTTTATTTTTATTTTTTATTTTTATAGGGTTTATTGGGGTGACATTGGTTAATTAAATTATATCGATTTCGGGTGTACAATTCTTTGATACCTCACCTGTGTGTTGTGTTCCTCACTCAACGCCAAGCCTCCTTCCACCTCCGTTCAGCGCCTTTCCCCCTTCCCCCTGGCAATCCCCACATTGCTGCCTGTCTGCGAGGGGGGTTTTGTTTTTCCCTTGCTCCCTTCCCCCTTCCACCCAGGCTCCCAGCCCCCTCCTCTCTGCCAGCGTCAGTCTGCTCTCTGCATCTGTGCGTCTGTTTCTATTTTGTGTGTCAGTTTTTGTTCGTTAGGGTCCCCATAAGAACTCCCGGTACTCGGCCGTCTGGCGGCCTGTTGCGCTCAGCACAGTGGAGCCTCGGGCGAGGCGCCTTCGGCTGAGGAGCGGGCCTGGCTCAGGCCTTCAGCGGGTTGGGGGCACCAAGCGCCACCTGAGAACTCTTGGCCCAGTTGCCTGTGGAGACGGGGACAGCAGTAAGATACGGGACATGGAAGGGCTGGCAGTGTCCTGGTTGCCCATAGGAAACGCCAGAAAGATTAAGCAGCGGGCGATGTGAGGTTTGGAGCAGAAGTGAAAAGTCACAAGAAAGTGAGCAGTGGAGCGGAGGAGAGAGACGGTCGTTTGATGCCACTGCAGGGGATGGAGGGGCCTTTTTGGTGGTTTTTATTTTTAAGATTACAGGATATATGAGCCCATGTAGGGACCTGAGATAGGGGAGCCCGGCGACGGGGGGGGGGGTCCGCGAAAGAACGACAGGGCGCAGTGCCTGTGCCACAGGACCCGGGAAAGCAGGCGAGCGGGATGGCACCCCCTCTTCCCCGGGTGACAGCAGCCGCAGAGCAGCCTCTGGGGGAGGGTGCCTGGGGAGGCCGCTCCCCTTCACCGTGACGTTCGGTAAGGACCCTCTGGGTGCGGCGTCATTCACAATAACAAGTGTTTATAAAACCCTGTTAGCTACGGCACAAATATAAGCCAGGAAAAAGTGCCTCTTGTGAGGGTGTTGCCGATACTTTGCTGCATCACTGTTAACATTTTTGTGTGTCATTGACATAAAATGGCCATGTTTAGGGGCAGAAAAACAGCAACACCCCAGCCCAATTCTTTTTCGGTTAATCCTCACCTGAGAATATTTTTTCTGTTGCTTTTCAGAGAGAGAGAAAGGGAGAGAGGGAGGGGAAGAGAGAGAGAGAAAGATCCGTGTGGGAGACACATCGACTGGTGGCTATTGTCTGCCTCCCACATGCACCTGGCAGGGGTGGGGAGCGAACCCGAAACCCAAGTACATGCCCTTGACCAGGAATCAAACCCGAGACCCTATGGTGCTCGGGCCGATGCTCTAACCACTGGGGAACATGACCAGGGCCCAACACAATTCTTTAGTAAAGATCACACACACACACACATGCACACACACGCACACACTCTACACACCACATTTATGTACTGGACAGAATTTAAAAGTTGGCTTCAAGATTTGGTCCGAAAAGTTTGGAGAAAAGTAGGTAGGGCTCGTGTGTGCGTGTCTCCCAGGACCCGGCTCTCTGGAAGAGCCCGCCTCTGACATCTAGGAATCGTCTCGTGGTTGACCACGAACTCGCACTGAGTCCTGCTGTACGCTGGACCAGCCGGGTGCTTCCATGTGTCCCTCCTTCCTTTCTTTCTTCCAGTAGCCCTTGAAAGCAGAGTCTGTCACCGCCGCTCATGGTACAGATGCGGAGAGGGGCTGGGGGAGAGGCCAGACCATTTGCCCCGAGTCTAACAGCTTACTGAGCGGACGGGCTCTCCCTGAACGCACACACTGCACTTGGGAAACTGGTTTTGTTTGGTGATTTTATTTGTGTCCATTTACGTACCAAAAAGAATTTCACATAGCTTCTCAAATAAACTGTACGTGTGTATATACACAAAACATGAGTGTAACGTGAACAGCATAGAGGAAAGAAAAAGAATAGAAATGAGTGAAAAAGGGAAATGTGCCGCGTCCTCTCC